CAAACCACTCTGGGATTCAGTGTCCACCCTGCCCCAGCTTGGTTGGTGGGACTAAAGGGAGCCGAGCTGTGCAGGAGTCACCTCCTGGGGGGTTGGTGTTCCAGATATGTGGCCATACAAAGTGACTTGTTTTTATGGGTGTTTTTCCCTTGTCCCTTTTGCAGGAAGATCAGGGGATTTACCACAGTAAAGTCCGGGACATGATCAGCGACAACCAGTATCGCCTCCTCGTCAGCATCAACGACCTGCGGCGGAAGAATGAGAAGAGGGCCAGCCGGTTGGTGTCGGGGGGGTGGGCATTTGCCTTTGGCACTGTGCCCGAGGTGGGATTTCAGAGGTCCAGCCCTGGTTTTGTAGGTCCTTTGTGACAAGGAAGGGGCAAACCTTGTCCTGTGCAGGTGGACCTGCTCTCTCCCCCCGTGACACCCACCCTTGGTAACCCTCAATTTAGTACAAACCTTTTGCATCAAACTGGGGTTTGATAGTATGATATCAGTACTCTCCTTTTTTAGAATGCTTGGGGATATTTTGGACTAGGATTGCCAGCCTGCTCAGGGACATGTGAGGTTTTTGAGTTGTGGTTGGGTTTGTTCAGCTCCTGGCTCTTGGTGGCAGCGGATGTGGCACAGAACTAGGATGGGCTTTGAGTTTGTTTGCCTCTTACTCCCAGTTAAACTGTCGGAGCACATGGAGGCATGGGTAAGCATTGAGAGTGGCAGAGGAGCTGCCGATCGGTCTGCATCCTCATCTACCTCTGTTGCAGGCTCCTGAACAACGCCTTTGAAGAGCTGATCGCTTTCCAGCGTGCCCTGAAAGATTTTGTCGCCTCCGTTGATGCCACCTACGCCAAGCAGTACGAGGACTTCTACATCGGATTGGAGGGCAGCTTTGGCTCCAAGCACGTGTCGCCACGGACGCTGACGGCCTGTTTCCTCAGCTGCATTGTCTGTGTGGAGGGCATCGTGACGAAATGTGAGCCTGGGGGAAGAGCTCTGGGGGGTGGGATCCAGGTGTTTGCTGCGGAGAGGCTGGGGTCTGCCAGTAGCCATGGTACGTTCTGTCAACCTGGGTGAAGGGAACGGGGCTTGGCAGAAGGTTTTGAGTGTTTGGATCGTCTCTGAGTTCAGCAAATCATGGTTGTGCTGACTGACAGCAGGTTGTGTCCCAAGTGCAGTTTAGCACTGGAGACCCTGTTGGGTACTGTCTCCTGACAGAAGGGTGGGACATCCCTGCCCCTAATTCCTCTTTCTTCCAACCCTAGGTTCTCTGGTTCGTCCGAAGATCGTCCGGAGCGTCCATTATTGCCCAGCTACCAAGAAGACTATTGAGCGCCGATACACGGACATGACCTCCCTGGATGCTTTCCCATCCAGCTCCGTTTATCCTACGAAGGTGAGGTTAATTGGCCTTGTGGGAAGCTTCACCACGTTTCTGTGGGGAGAACGTGCCAGCTTCAAGCCCGGGACTAAATTCCTGTGCGTCCCTTCTCCCTCTGCGAACATGGAGTAGAAAGAAGACACGTTACGCGTGTGAAAGTGCCAGAGAGCTACTAGGAACATTTAAAGAAAGTCTCTGTTGGACACTAGGCCACCAGACCCGCTAGTTCAGATCATAGAATGGTTTGGGTTGGAAGGGACGTTAAAGATCACCTAGTTCCAACCCCCCTGCCATGGACAGGGACACCTTCCACTAGACCAGGTTGCTCCAAGCCTCATCCAGCCTGGCCTTGGACACTTCCAGGGATGGGGCATCCACAGCTTCTCTGGGCAACGTGTCCCAGTGCCTCACTCCAGCTCCAGGTGCTAGTTATGGTCTTGGTTTTGCTGTAGCATGGTTTCCTGTGGGGGTATCAGTCAGTTTTATGGCTCCTGGGTCAGCGTCGGCACGCCTGTGCTGTCCTGGAGGGTGTATGCACCCTTGGGTAGGGGGTTTGCCCTGTATTTCGGAACAGAGGCAGGCTGACCTGAGCTTTGTCCCTGTTGCACAGTGCCTGCTGCATGGGTGGCATGTCGCCACTGTCTGCAGTAGGGACAGGGTTTGAAGAGACCTAACGTACCAGCAGTCATGGGTGTTGTCAGCTTTAGACTTGGGGGGGCTGCAGAGCTGGTGAACCCCAGCCTCTGGCAGTCCTGGAGGAGTGACCCTTTCCAGCAGTTTTGTGTATGTTGGGTGATGCAGCCTGTCTTCCTGCTGCTCAGCAGACGCGCCCCTTCTCTCTGTGTCCCTGAAAAACAGTGCTAGTCTTTTTATTGGGGTTCCTCCTCTAGGATGAAGAGAATAATCCCCTGGAGACAGAGTTTGGCCTCTCGGTCTACAAGGACCATCAGACCATCACCATCCAGGAGATGCCTGAGAAAGCACCGGCAGGGCAGCTGCCACGCTCGGTGGATGTCGTTCTGGACGATGACCTGGTGGACAAGGTGAAGCCTGGGGATCGCATCCAGGTGGTGGGGACATACCGCTGCCTGCCAGGAAAGAAAGGGGGTTACACTTCAGGGACTTTCAGGTGAGCTGCCTGTTGTCTCGACTTCAGTCCTCCCACCCTTTTCAGTCAGGTCACTTCTCTGGAAGAGGAGATCTAGGGCAGGCACGTGGCCGTCACAGGGCTGGGTCAAACATTGGCTTAAATCACTTGGGAAGTGGTTTGCACCTTGCTGCTTAGCATTAGTATGTAGCTATGAGCTCCAGCTGTGCACAGAGGAGGTTCGGTGCTCTTAAAGATGCTCCGCTGATGGCCCAGGAAGCTACAGTTCTTGAAGCTTTCCAGCCTCCTCCAGGACTTCCTAGAGGAAATGATAACCCTGTGGAAGCTTCTGCAGTGTTGTTGCTGTGAACCATGGGCTCTGGGGTTTACAGACCTGATCATGGCTGTATCCCTTCTCCAGGACTATCCTCATTGCCTGCCACGTGAAGCAGATGAGCAAAGACATCCGGCCTCTCTACTCTGCTGCTGATGTGGCCAAGATCAAGAGGTTCAGCAAGAGTCACTCCAAGGTATTTCAGTCTTGCATATAGAAGGCCGGCTTGTGTCAGAGCATGAGGTTTCAGATAGAACAGCTTTAAGGCTAGGCCTGTGGCTGAAGAGGTGTCTTGTTGGATTCCAAGTAACTTTTCAACCCTCTTGGCAATGTTGCTGGATTTTCCACTCACTTTCTTTGTATTTTCTGCTTAGGCTTTGATCAGTTCCTGGGTTTTTTTTTTGTTGCTGTTTCTGTACTGCTGGCAGAGCATCCTTCCTGCCTGCTGGCAGCTCTGCTGTGCGTAGCTGTCGAGACGGAGGTCTGTCTATGTTGTGTGTGTCCTTACCCTGCCAGCTGGTTAACAAGGAATTTTCTCTGCAGCAGAAACACCTCCTCTTCATGCCCAAAACCCAGATGAAATAAGGAGGTCTGCCCCAGACTGGTCTTATGCTCAAATCTTTGCTTCATAGCGTGGTGAGGAGAAAGCCTTGCTCTCGCAGGGCTTGCTGCGTCCCGTGCTTGCTTGGGTGACAGTGACAGTCAGGATGGTCTATGGTTCAGAGCTCCACTGAAAGACAATTCTGGCAAACTGTCTTCTCCTTTCTAAATAAGTGTGGCTCCTTTTTTGTGCTGAAATGGACTTACGGAGTATTGCTTCTTGTTCTTATTGACTGCAGTCTGTCTGATGGGCTGTGCTTTGCCTCTTCTGCCCTAGGATATCTTTGACCAGCTGGCAAGATCCCTGGCTCCCAGCATCCATGGACACGAGTACATCAAGAAGGCCATTCTCTGCATGCTGCTTGGAGGGGTGGAGAAGGTCCTGGAGAATGGGAGCCGCATCCGAGGAGACATCAACATCTTGCTGATAGGTGCGGGAATGCTAGGCAGCGGCATGCTTGGGTGGTGTTGTCAGGGAGGGTAAGATGAAGGAGCATGCTTCTGGAATTCCATTTCATAGAGTAGTTGAGGTTAGACAGGATCTCCGGAGGCATCTGGTCTGAGCACGTGCACAAACTGGACAAAGTATCTTTTTTGCTGTGGGATTTGACCAGTTGGTTTTGAACAATTCTTTTTACAAGGGCAGGGAGTCACAGGACAAGGGGTAACGGGTTTAAACGGAAAGACGGAGATTGAGATTGGGTATTAAGAAGAAATTATTCCCAGAGAGGGTGGTGAAGCCCAGGAACAGGTTGCCCAGAGAAGCTGTGGATGCCTATCCCTGGGCGTGTTCAAGGCCAGGCTGGATGAGGCTTGGAGCAACCTGGTCTAGTGGAAGGTGTCCCTGCCCATGGCAGGGGGTTGGAACTGGATGAACTTTAAGGTCCCTTCCAACCCTAACCATTCTATGATCTCCAGGGATGGGATCCTACAACCTCTGTGCACCACTATCCCAGTGTTTGATCACCCTCAAGGAGGTGTGGGGGTTTTTTTACCATCCAATTGAGATTTCCTGTGTTCCAAGTTGTCCTCATTGCTTCTATTCCGATCACCACGCACCCTCAACTCTAGCTCAGTCTTCTCTATTTCCTCCCATTGCATCACTGAGGAAGGTGGGAAGTTCTTCTGATCACCTTGTTTTCCAAAGGCTGAACAAA